CTGGACTAGAGGACCTCCGAGGTCCCTTCCAGCTCTGTGGTTCTCGCACCCATTGCAGGGGCCGTGGACACCTTCACGCTGATCCACCACGACCTGGAGATTTCCACCAACCCAGCTCAGTACGCCATGATCCTCGACATCGTCAACAACCTGCTGCTGCACGTGGAGCCCAAGCGGAAGGTGCCTGGGGGGGTTCCGGCGGGGCTGGGGGGCCGAGGGGGGGCAGTGTTGGTGCCTCTTGAGACGTTTTGCGCTTGTGAGCAGCCGTTCTCGTCCAGTGCTTGCCTGGGATGGTTCGTAGATGGAGGGGGGGTTTGAGCCTATCCCTGCCCCATTCCCTGGACCCCTCCCTCCCTCCTTGTGCCAACCCCAGGCCCCCCCTCTGGGACTCCAGAGAGTTGCCCAAGTTGTGTTGGCTGTTAGTGCAGCCTCCTCCCGGTCGGAGGGTGGAAGCGAGAGACAGACGTCCCCCCCCCTTCAGGATCCTCCGGGAACCAAGCAGCACAACCCATGGGGGTCTTGTAGCTGAACACCAGTAGGGGGGGATCTAGGACAACTTGCCACAGGACAACTTTCTGTGGCCAATTCCCCATGGCCAGGGGTGGGGAACTATGGCCCCTTGATGACTTGTGGACCAGCTCCCAAAATTCCTGAACCAGCATGGGGGAACTATGCCCCCCTTTATGACTCGTGGATTTCAACTCCCAGAATTCCTGAGCCAACATGGGGGAACTATGGCCCCCTTCATGACTTGTGGACTTTAATTCCCAGAATTCCTGAGCCAACATGGGGGAACTATGGCCCCCTTCATGACTTGTGGACTTTAATTCCCAGAATTCCTGAGCCAGCATGGGGGAACTATGGCTCCTTCGTGACTGGTGGACTTCAACTCCCAGAATTCCTGAGCCAGCATGGGGGAACTGTGGCCCCCTTCATGACTGGTGGACTTCAACTCCCAGAATTCCTGAGCCAGCATGGGGGAACTATGGCTCCTTCGTGACTTATGGACTTCAACTCCCAGAATTCCTGAGCCAGCATGGGGGAACTGTGGCTCCTTCATGACTTATGGACTTCAACTCCCAGAATTCCTGAGCCAGCATGGGGGAACTATGGCCCCCTTGATGACTGGTGGACTTCAACTCCCAGAATTCCTGAGCTAGCAATCAGGCTCAGCGTGGCTGGCTCAGGAATTCTGGGAGTTGTGGTCCACTAGTCATAAAAGAGCCAAGATTCCCCACCCTTGCCCATGGCCGACTCGCCCCGGGACAATTCAACAATTCAGTTTAATTATTTAAAGTAATTTTTTTAAAAAAATACAATTTTTGTCATTCCCATTTCATTCTGTGCCTCCTTTTCCATCCTTTCTTTAATGATTCAATTCCACCATTTCTTCGATATTAGCGTGACTCTTCTCCCGCAGCGAGTTGGCCGTGGCGAGTTGCCTCGATAAATTCTCCTAGACCCCTCACCGCGGTCAACACACTGTGGGGCCAACCCCCCCCCACGTGGGACGAGTTACCCAAACATCAAAGAAATTGTGGAATAGAATCATTAAACAAAGGATGGAAATGAAATGCGGATGGCAAAAATTAAAACATTAAATAATTCAGTTGAATTGTCCCAGGCGAGTTGTTAGCGGCGAGTCGGCTGTGGTGAGTTCTCCCCATTCTGATGGGGACCGGGGTTCAAAGACATTCCGGCTTAGACTCCGTTTGGGGGAGGAAATGCTTGAGGTCAGAGTCCGGGGTCTCAATCTGCCATTCCCCAAGACAAGACAGACAGTCGGGTGAGATTCTGGTAGGATCAGCGATAAAGAAAACCTCCGTGACCCGTTGTCAGAGCTGTTCCGGTTGCTTCGGTCAGGGATAAAACTTCGGCGGTTACGTGCCCCTGCCTTTCAACTTGCCTTTAGATTAAGGGGGGGGCTGTTCCTTTCAAGAGGGTTAGAGGGAGAAACGAAACTTCTACGATTCAGCTGAAGACCCGTGGAAAGCCTGAAACCTTTTCAAGGACACGAGAACAGGTGTGGATTTGAAGCAGACAGTTCCCATAACAAAGCGAATTTGTTTATAGGGACTAGGTTAGATTTTTCAGGGTGGGTGGGTTGGCTAGGAAAATTATTTTTTATGAATTGGGGTTGGAACCTCAGAGTGAGTTTTGCTTTGACGTTGCCGTGCAGTGTATTCAATAAACAGTAAGATTTTTGGAGACGGAATGAACCATCTGGATTCTCAAGCTGCCTTTTGGGTTGCGAGGGGTCGTGTGCGAGCAGCATCTCCCCCTCTCTTTGCCAGCTCCGGAGGGGCAGGGTCTTTTCTACCCTCCACAATTCCCACTGACTCAATCCGGCCTCCGAGCAGCTTAAAAAGTGACCAAGGGGGGGTCTTGGCTCTCCCTGGCCCCCAACCCTGTTTTTTCCTTCCTCCTCCTCCTCCTCCTCCTCCTCCTCCTCCTCCTCCTCCTCCCTTGCCCCGTGCAGGAGCACAGCGAGAAGAAGCAGCGGGTCCGTTTCCAGCTGGAGATCTCCAGCAACCCCGAGGAGCAGCGCAGCAGCATCCTCCACCTGCAGGAGGCCGTCCGGCAGCACGTGGCCCAGATCCGGCTGCTGGAGAGGCAGATGTACGCGGTCATGAAGGTGGGCGCGCCTGGGGCCGGCCTGTGGGAGGGGGGGCGCTCCCTCTGAGGCCCGGGGTCCTGCCCTGGGGCACCTCTGCCTGACCCCCTCCTCTCTCCCCAGTCCCTGCAGGACGACGGGCGCAATGAGGCGCTGCTTGACCACAACCAGAAGCTGCAGCAGCAGCTGAGCCAGGAAAAGTCCACCTTGCAGCAGGAGAGCGAGGACCTGAACATCCTGATCAGGTGTGGGGGAGCAGGGGGGGGGCTCTGGCCAAAGGAGGGGGGGCTGCTTCTGCTACCCCCCCTGGGAGGGGGCTGGAGGGAGGCCCGGCGTCTGTTCCCCAGGAAGAGACGGCCCTGTGTTGGAGTGAGCTGGGATGCACAGGTGGTCCCCGAGTTACGACTATAATTGGGCCCAAAAGTGATCTTGCCTAAGTGAAACATTCACGAAGTGAGTTTGGCCCCGTTTCACGACTTTTTTTCCCCCACGGTTGTTAAGTGAATCGCTGCAGTAGTTCAACTGGTAACACGGTTCTTAAGTGAACGCGGCTTCCCCCACGGACTTTGCTCGTCAGAAGGTCGCGACTGCGGATCACGTGACCCCAGGGACACTACGACCGTCATAAGTAGGAACCAGTCGCCAAGCGTCTGAATGTTGATCACGTGACCCCGGGGGACGCTGCGACGGTCGTAAAGTGTGAAAAGGGGTCCTAAGTTGCTTCTTTCAGTGCCGCGGTAGCTTCGGTCGCTAAACGAATGTTTCTAAGTCCGGGACTACCTGTTTCTCTTTTCTTTTCTTTTTTTTTTAAACAAATTTTATTAGTTATAATAATAATAATAATAATAATAATAATAATAATAATAATAATAATAATAATAATAATAATAATAATAATAATAGTAAAGTTGGAAGGGACCTTGAAGGTCATCTAGTCCAACCCCCTGCTCAGGCAGGAAACCCTAGACCATTTCAGACAAATGGCTGTCCAGTCTCTTCTTAAAAACTTCCAGTGTTGGAGCATTCATAGCTTCTGGAGGCAGGTTGTTCCACTGGTTAAATTGTTCTCACTGTCAGGAAGTTTCTCCTTAGTTCTAGGTTGCTTCTCTCCTTGATTGGTTTCCACCTGTTGCTTCTTGTCCTGCCTTCAGGCGCTTTGGAGAATAGCTTGACTCCCTCTTCTTTGGGGCAGCCCCTGAGATACTGGAAGACTGCTATCATGTCCCCCATCGTCCTTCTCTTCATTAAACGAGACATCCCCAATTCCAGGAACCCGTTCCTTATATGTTTTAGCCTCCAGTCCCCTAATCATCTTTGTTGCTCTTCTCTGTACTCTTTCTAGAGTCTCAGCATCTTTTTTACATCATGGGGACCAAAACTGGATGCAGCATTCCAAGTGTGGCCTTACCAAGGCCTTGTAAAGCGGTATTAACACTTCACGTGATCTTGATTCTTTTTCAGTTTTCCAGTTTTACATTTAGGTGCTTGGAAAGCAGCATGGTGATGGGGCAGTTCAATAGTTCAATAACAAAGTGTCTAGTACATATCTCAGGTTGCATTATCAAAAATTCCTTCTCTATTTCCCTTAACATTCAATGTATCATACTTAAATTAGTAAATTTCTAACCATGGCAAACTCAATTAGAACATTTATCGATATATTTTTTGCTTATACATATCCATATCCTGTTTTAAGTTTCAGCTAATTTTTCATTTTTAATTGCAGTATTCCAACGAACCTTTAACATCCATAGTATTTAAAATCCTGGTAACCCAAATTTCCTTTATTTCACTGCGCAAAAGTTCTAATATCTGAAATGCACATAGTACTTACAGTAAATATATTCTTATTCTATTTCATATAGATTTTTCTATTTCTCGTCCTAATAAATCACTACTTACAAATAGAATAACCTTTGTTGTCTCTGTTTCTCCTTTCTCAGGTGCTTCAAGGACTTCCAGCTGCAGAGGGCCAACAAAATGGAGCTGCGCAAACAGCTGGAGGACGTCAGCGTGGCCCGGCGGACCGAGTTCTACTTTGCGCAGGCTCGCTGGCGCCTGACCGAAGAGGACGGGCAGCTGGGCATCGCCGAGGTGGAGCTGCAGCGCTTCCTCTACAGCAAGGTGGGGCTGGTCCGGGGTCCAGGCAGCGGGGTCAAGCTGGGCCTGGCCTGCCTGCAGCTGCCGCTGACCCCTCCGGTCTCTTGCAGTTAAACAAGTCGGACGACACAGCCGAGCATCTGCTGGAGCTGGGCTGGGTGACCATGAACAACCTCCTGCCCAACGCCATCTACAAGGTGGGTGGCCAGCCCTCTTCCCCACCCCCCCATCCCAACTTGGCCCTTGGGGGGGGGCAATGAGAGCCAAGGGATCCCTCCTGCACAGCTGCGAGAGGACTTGTGATGACCCAGAGCACAGCACAGAGGCAATGCAGTCAGCTTCCCCCCTGCTGAGGGGTTTTCTGACGCCTGGTATGTCCGTCCACCCCGTTGCAGGTGGTTCTCCGTCCCCAGAGCGCCTGCCAGTCGGGGCGCCAGCTGGCCCTGCGGATTTTCAGCAAGGTCCGGCCGCCGGTGGGCGGCATTTCCATCAAGGAACACTTTGAGGTGAGCAGGGCTGGGCACAAGGGCTGAGCTGCCCCCTCCCCACCCCTTTTGCATGTGGGGAGCCTAATCTCCATGCACCCCTTCCCCGCAGGTCAACGTGGTGCCGCTGACCATCCAGCTGACGCATCAGTTCTTCCACCGCATGATGGGGTTCTTCTTCCCCGGACGCAACGTGGAGGAGGAGGAGGTGGGCGACGAAGAGGACAAATCCAAGCTGGTGACCACGGGTGAGCGTGACGGGGCCCTCCCTCCGAAGGAACACTTCCTGGCTCCCTCCCGGGGAGGGGAGGGCTCCGGGGGCTGAGAGTTCTGACGTGGACGGAAGCCAATCTGCGTGTCCCGGGATAAGGTGGCGGGATCCATTCTGGGTCGGTCAGCAGGACCAGTAATTTAGCCTTCCGCACGTCCAGACTCGTGCTGAAGGCCCCATCCTCCGGGAACCTCTCTTCCTCTCCAGAATGTGTGCACTGGGCCGTTCTACATTAACAGTGCCTTGTTGTGTGTGGCTTTTAATTAAGTAGAGTTCGGGTATTAAGTCGTTAGTCCTTGTTTCCTTCTGCTGTTGCGCCCTCGGCTGCCAAGTAAGCACCAGTGAATCTGGTGGTCAATCGACGGACAAGGGACCCGTTTCTCAGGCTTCAATCATTTCTCTGGCTATTTTTGTCCCGGCTCGGCCGACAATTGTAGTAGTAGCTGGGAAATGGAAGGCGCGTCCTTGTTCATTGCAAAGTGAGGCTAAGCCGCGAGTTCGGGTCGCCCCGTCTGAAGAGTTTTTCTCCTGGATGCAGGGATGCCGGTGGTCAAGCCGCGACAGCTGATGGTCTCCGAAGACTCGCTGGGCTCCGGGAAGGGCATGGGTCAAGGGCTGAACCGGACGTCGGGGGTCAGGCGCTCCTTCCGCAAAGCACCCGAGGTAGCCGCCCTGGGACAACTTGGCTGACCAAGATGGGAGGGGGGTTATACAGAACTATTTCGGTCCTGAGAGCCGGCCGGCCCCAGACCTGCTTCTTGGCCAAGCATAGCACCCCGGAGGACTTTGTGTTCGGGGGGGGGGGTTTGGGGGGGGGCAGGGTCTTGCTTCCTCAGAGTCCATCGCTGTCCTCGCCTTCTCCTGGAGCCCCTCGGAAAGTGCCCCCAAGGGAGGGGCACATGGAGGCCGCTGGGTGAGAGGGAAGGGGGGTGGGAGTGAGATGGCCCCTCCTCAGCCATGGATGCTCAGGGGCGGCTTTGGGCAGTCGCTCTCCAGCCCATCCTGCCTCGCAGGGGTGTTGGGAGGGCCACCATGCAAGGCGTGCTTCCCACAGAGATGTCCACGGGGGGGAAGTTACCAGATTGAGCCTGACAAGGGGTGATTTCTCGGACAAGGCTGCCCTTCACATGGACCTGAGCAGGCTGCCCCGTCTGTCCGTCCGTTTGCTCATTCATTTGTTCCAAAACTCACTACTATAAGGGTAGTCTCCAACTTACGACCACAGATGAGCCCAGAATTTCTGTGGCTGAGAGACGGTTGTTAAGTGAATTTTGTCCCCCTTTTACGACCTTCCTTGCCACTGTTCTTAAGTGAATCACTGCAGTTGCCAAGTTAGCCACACGGTAGTTAAGCGAATCCGGCCTCCCCATTGACTTTGCTTGTGCAGAAGGTCGCAAAAGGGGATCACTTGACACCCCCCCTCCCCCTGGATGCTGCGACCGTCACAAATGTGAGTCAGTGGCCAAGCGGCTGAATTTTGATCACACGATCATCAGGTCGCTGCAACGGTCGTAAGTGTGAAAAACAGTCCTTTTTCAGTGCTGTTGTAACTTGGGACGATCGCTAAATGAACTGTCGTAAGTTGAGGACTGCCTACATCATGGCTCTATTACGACTCGTGGACTTCAACTCCCAGAATTCCTCAGCCAGCATGGGGGAACTATGTCCCCTTCATGACTGGTGGACTTCAACTCCCAGAATTCCTCAGCCAGCATGGGGGAACTATGGCTCCCTCATGACTTGTGGACTTCAACTCCCAGAATTCCTGAGCCAGCATGGGGGAACTATGGCC